CTGCTCACAGAGCTATCATTGAGGTGGATCGACGTTCCATAATCTGAGGAAAGGTTTCTCTGTTCGCTTTGTTTAAGACCAATTTCCAGGTGGATGAAGGAGGAACAACCGCGGCGGGCTCCACAGTTATGTTGACGAATAAGCTCTCAGGTTACTTTGGACGACGGCTGAAATTCCAAGCTGATCATCCATTCTTATTCATCCTTACAAAAGATAACAATCCTTTGTTCATGGGTCAATTTGTGTGAAAGATTCAATCACATTCCAAAATAAATTATGAGTTCACTGTCGATAGAGTAGTGATATGCTTCTTTGCTAATGGTGGTGAGTTGGGACGTGGGGACGACTCACTACTTGTGCAAAGCTAGATATACCGTAATGGCAATGAATACTTTTGTCCAGTCCTAAAAGGGAAGCAGCTGCAGCTTGGGTGGACGTACTTGTAACACGATAATTACATATATTCAGATGGCATTGCTTGTCTTGCACAAAGAGTCCTTCAAATGCGCCCCCTGTGCAGGTATAGAGCTCATATTGAGCTTCCACACGTTTACCTTCTTAGAGATGGCCACGACTCGTACTTATGAATCATTAGGACCTCAATGATACAGGAGTATGGCACCATGAGGTGGTTATCGCACCACACAACTGTTCAGAAGCTTATTTTTCCACCCTGTGACTTCCAGGTGCCAGTTGAGGTCCGATATGCGCTTTTTTCTGATGGCAGATGCGAAGACACGTTTGGTAACTGCCTTTCATAGGCTATGGGATTCTAGATCGCAGCATCGGTGCTTGCTGACTGACTTTTTAGTGCTCTTCCAATTCCACTGTCACTGAAGGAGCATAAGATGGTCAACAAAATCAGCTGCATGGCACGAAGGCTGACGGTTCTTCTGGTTTTTTTTTTACTCTTTTTTTTGGTTCTCTTCACTTTTTCTCTCGATCCTCTCCTCGGCGCGGATCGGCGATGGGTTGAGGGGTAGGGGCACTTTGTGCTTTCATTCCGCTTATCCGCTATATCCGCTTTACAAGCCTCACTCCGGTGAAACCTGTGAACCCTTGTGAAGCTGGAGCAAGCTCGTCACCGCCATGGTAAAACCTGTCAACTCGAGAAGAGGCTGTCTAGATGGGTCGACACGTCGATGGGAAGTAGCAAAAGTGCAAAATGCCCCCTCTCCTACGCCGAACTGCGCCTCTACTCTCTTACGATTCCATGTAGCGATGCACATTTGATACATCGCCATTAGTCAGGGCTGTGTCATAAGGCTGAAATGAGCCAATCCGCAGCGTTTCGCGCAAAAGGCTTCCTTTGTGGACCACTACGCACCGCCCACATTTGACGTTTCCGCTGCAGCATGGCACAAACTAAGGTTGCTCTGTTATAAACCTCAAAAACAGATTTGTCCAAGGATAGTGCGCTATTTGCTCCGAAATTGTGGCAGGGGTACTATACAGTGGAGAAATGACGAATGAGCTAAGTTAAAAGACTGAAAAGCTGCGGAAAAAGCCCTTGTTCTGCTCTGCACTGGAGAGCATTTCTGGTCCCGTTAGCATGTGCCAACAACCCCACAGATGTGGCTGCACTTATGTATTCATATATCCAATGCTTCATATCGATTGTACTTCATAAATGAGCGAAACAGTACCAGCGTCGACGTCACGGTACGGCCAATTGTGGGCGGGCGGTTGGGCGTTTGGGTGGGCATGTTGCATCTGGCTTAGCCGCTGTAATGGTACTCTTGGTTGGGGAAGGCGCCAGACAGCGCCAAAACGTCATTTCAGAAAAGTTCCACCAGAGTTTCCCCAGAGGCAAATAGCAATTGACTGAAATTGAATGTAGACTAAAGTTCCGATTGAGCGCTGCTCGGCTTAGAGAGGGCTTTTTTACTTGTGCTACATAGTTCCATTAGCTAGAGCATGGTTAACAAGAGGTCTCACTTTGGCAAAGTCTGCGTGAACCTGCGACAAAGTGCAAGTGTGAGCCACTTCGGCGACAGTAGATTACAGGTCTTCAAAAGGTGGCCTGTTCATGCTTCTGAAAACCTCCCACCAACCCGATTTGCGCCGTTATTCTCACATTGGCTCAGAAGTAATCGAGCTTTTGAGTGGCTGTGATATTGGGCTTTTCACAATGCAAAAACGTAGCACTTTTGAATTACGTTTTTGTCTCGCAGGTGGTGGCAAAAAGAGAAATATTGGTCGTTTGGAGCATAAAAAGCAGCATATATTACCCGGATCGTCCACCTAAGAGCCATAAGTGATATTTCTCGAGTTGCTTAATATTCCGAGAAAATGTTGCACCATTATCCTTGTAATCGGCGCGCACCGAAAGCTACCAATGTCACTGAAAAAAATATTAATTCGTTTCCAGAGAAGCCTCGAGGTGGGGGAACAGTGCAGTAAAGTCAAAAAAGGGCTGACAGATCGAATAGAGGAGACACACCCCAAAATAGGGGGGGGGGGTACCTGAGATGGATGGCGCTTTCCGTGTCACTGAAAAAGCCACAATTTAAAAAAGGCTACAAAGCAGCTCGGAGACGGGGAAAAGTGGAATAAGATGCAAATGGAGGATACCCCGAAACGGGCGAGTACTTGTGATGGGCGGTGCTTCCCATAAAGGTCGGTAACTCGGTTCTCAAAAATGTTTAGAGATCGCAGAAAAGTCCATGACGAAGATGAACATCTGGCAAGAGTTCACCATGTTGGAGGGTGCTGAGGCCCAGGCGTGCCTTCGAAACTAGGTGACAGTTGTAGTTTGGATCTAGAGCACTACAGACGGGGCAAAAAAGTGGATTATTGGCCCAAGTGATCACATATTGAGATGTGCGAGGCACTCCTGATGTGGGCGGAGCGTGCTCCGGGGCGGGCGGAACCAGATTCAAAAAAATCCTGAAACGGTCTCAGAATACTTTAGACACCGCGGAAAAAGTGCTAGGTTGGAAGGAAAATCCTGCGACACTTTGACCAAATTTTCGGGCCGAGTTTTCCTTTACTAAAGGACCAGGACTGGTGCCCATCTTCTTGCACAGCTTCTCATTTATACTCTTATAGAACTAAGGGCAACTGCGATAAAAAGAAGAGGTGAACCTCATTTTCAAAAAGGATTCGATTTTTGAAGTTGTTGTTCTCTGAAGAATGCGGTAGGAGTCAATGTGTGGTGATTAGAATCTGCTAGGTTTGGTAAAGAAGCTGGTCACGGTCGTATGTCTTGATTGAGATCCATGAGATTTGAGATCCATGAGATTGGCGTAGCCTGATTCCCACATACGGTCTTCGTTGGCCGAGTAGTAAAAAGAAACTGAATGTTTCTGAAGAATTCAAGCGTGACGCATTTCATGTTTTGATGTCAATCAGTGTAGACAGTGGCCGTCATTGCTGTGCCAGTACCCAGCGATGTCGCTTAGAAGTCTCACCAATAACACAGTGAAATCTCTTATTCCATGCACATCTGCTTTTGGCTGAGCAATCTACTTTTCTCCTTGAGAGGATCTGTGAGAGATGTGTTCATAGCTTACGCATGGACCCCAACACTCGATACCAGCCACAAGATCTCACGAAAATTCCTCTAGTGTATATGAGGGAAAAGAAAACTCTGTCACGGCTATTCGATGCGCTTTGTCAGACTGGTCCAACTCATGAAGGCATCCTTCACAAAAAATTTCCCTTTGTGAGTTAGGTGGAGCTTACAAGAGGTTGAGGTGTTAGAGAGGTGATTGTAAGAGAGGTTGCCAACTTACTGGTGTTTACGTTCGGCTGCGCCTCCAGAAGTTTTACTAAGCGGTCATCATTCTATATTGTTGGCCCACCGACACGTCGCCCACCTTCGGATTAAAGTACTCCATCTCCCGAGCGCTGACAGAAACGGAACACTGTGGCATGGCGAGCGAGATTCTTTGTTGAGACAACACAGGTGGTAGCTCCCTCGAGTATGCCACTACCTCAGACTCCGAAATATCCACAAAATCATGAGATACCCCTCTGCAAAAACCTCAGAGGACACTCTTCAGTGGTGCAAATATTCGAAATGTTTTTGGTCTTTGCCTGGAACAACTGAATCAAAGTATCGTAGGTGGGACTTTCCTTCCAACCTAATAGTTTGAGATCACCGAGGGGTCATCCGGTTTACAATGTGCCGAAGGTACACCCTTCGTGGCGATGCGCTGCGGCGAGAAGGCGGTCCGAAGCCACCCTGAAAATACTTGACGGTTCCAGAGCACTCTTACACACCCCAACCCTCCTTTGATACAGCTCGTACCTTGCGTGGGCTGCCTACCTGCTTCCGTGTGATCAAATGCTCGACCAATACCCGGCTTTTCCCTCATCTGTCCATAGATCAACGCTCCTTACCGCTATTCCAAATTATGCCGGAAAATATAAGGTATTGTCAAAGAATTTTGACCATCTGTTCAGATAGAAGAAAAGCAGGACAGTTGGTGGGTATCCAATTTAGCGGCAGAACGTAAGCGCGGCGGAACCGCGTCCGCCTGGTGAAGCTCGCCGTGTCTCAAAAGGGGAAGCGCCAGAGTCAGTCGGCGCCAGCCGGATGGTGGAACTGTGGACCAAGTTTTTCACGATGTTGCCCTTTTTTTAAGTCTCCTCCGAAGGAAGTTACAGCTCTCCCAGTGGGGGACATTTTGCATATCGCCCCCTCCAGACATAAACTGCTCTGTCGCAGTGTAATATGAAGCGGAATTATATCATCCAGTGCAAAAAAAATACAAAAAACAACAAAAACGCAGAGGAAAAGCAAAAAAGTTCTAAAAACTCGGTGTCCGAATTTGGGATTACGGTAGCGCACATTTTAGTGTAGTGAAGTGCGTCGAGCTTTTGCACCACGAAAATTGCGTCACTCGTGATTTTTACGCGTTTCACCTTGCGAAATGGGTTGAGTTGAATGTATATGCCCCTAATGAATAAAATGTAATAAAGGAGAGCAGAATTATCCATGGGCACGAGCGCGGTCAGGGACATGCAATTCCGATTAATGCCCGCCGCCCCAACTAAGAACAACCGTCGGAGGGCATCTAGCAAGTAAGGCGGTCCAACTGAGCAGGCGTTAGAACTAGAACTTTCAGCGGCTGTAGCTCGCTCCTCGCTCGCTGTGGAGTCGAGAATAGACTCATCAAGAATTATTCACATTTCTGCTCGCTTCTGATCATAAATGTCAAGCTGACGTCTTTGACAGCAGAATGACGGGTGATTTATGCTTCCTTCGAGCAATGGTTCCATGTAAATTGAAATGAATCACCATTATTGCTTCCCTGTCGAGCGCTGTTACACGCAGTAGACGTGAATAAGGGAGCGCAACCAAGGCTGCTCTTCACATTGCACTGAAAGATGGACGGCAGAGCCGGTGAAGCTGCACCTCTCTTATTATCTACATTCCTGGTTTCTTTTCTTTTGTTATCGCTGTTAGAACGTTATCACGGCTTAGGATTCCAGTGATAAGTGCACCGATTGTAGCTTTTCTCATGGTCAGCTCTCTCTTGTAACATTAGTGGGGCACGGTGGCGGGAGCAGTTCGGGGACGGGGGGGGGGAAGCTTCCAATTGCTACTCCTCATCGACATGTCAACCCATCTAGAGAGCCTTTTTATAAGTTGACAAGTTTTACCGTGAGGCACCACGAGCGTTCTCCAGTTTCGCAAGAGTTCACATGTTCCAGCAGAATGGGACATGTAAAACGGAACTAGTGGGGCAGCAAAAGTTCAGAGTCTCCCACGGCGAACTGTGCTCGGACAGGAAACAATCTTACAAACTGGTTGTTGTACTTGAGTAACGTTGTCAAAGCTACACGGCAGTGGTGGTGATATAGGCCGCTGCATGAAGTCGCAACTGCCCATTACGAAAAGCAGATTTCCTTTGTCAGCTGATTTTTTGTTAAAATTACTATGAGTTCACTGTTCTTAGTTGTAATGGCTGTGGTATTTGTGCGGGGCAGAACTTCAACTCCCGCTTTAGCGTCAGAACATTTGGGAATATTTCGTGAGGGGAGAAAAAATTCAGGCAGGGAAAGGGTCGTACTTATTCGAAAAGATCCGCTAACTCTTGTACAGGTATGCAGCAGCACAGTATTTGCTTATTGTAGTCTGCAGATGCCATCAAGATGAGACGCGTACATAGTTCAAAAGAATTAGCAAAAGGGCCTACCGAAACTGCAAAATGCCACCCGTCCCTCACTCATGTGTAACGGCGCCAAAAGTAGAGCTATCGGCTTCCACCAATCCTTCCCTGAAGTGCGCCACGCATCCGACTCCGAATGTCCCACGGATCCCTCTTAGAATGGTAATGGTGTTATGAAAAGGAATTCGCTTACACAATGACATGTGGGGTCATTCCATGTCAAGGTCCAGCGCTCGAATCTTAGAGAAGGCTGATCGAGTCGAGCAGGAACCGTTCAGAATAATGCCGGAATTCTCTGTGCTTGAAGCTGTATTTCAACATCTCACCAGTCCCCGTCTTATTTATCATTAAATAACCAACTTACTTTCTTGATGCATCCTGTAAATTCACAACTACGTAGAAAGCTGCCTTGGGTTGCTGCCCGGCAACCTTTCATCTCCGTACACAGCCCTCCAGCTCGCGGGATAGCCACTGTGCGCTCCAACGAGATCTGCAGCATTCTACAGGTTTTAGTGTAAGTGTTATTTCTCGCACGAGACGACCTTGCTGTTAAGGATGTATTTAACGGCCGAAACGGATTTCGGGCTCAATATGCTCCGGAATGGGCCCGTCAACGACTCTCTAGTCGTGTCGCCAATCTCCGTGATTTTCGCCTTGGCGATGGTGCGAGCGGGTGCCAAGGGCCCTACGAAATCTCAAATTGATTCCGTCATCTCTAAAGGTTCGAGCCCAAATTTCTTTGGCTGCCCTCGTGCCCTTTTCTCTAGTAAATTGTCTTTCAGGAGGGTCCGACAGGGATATTGAAGAGCATTATTCAAAGCTCTATAACCAGATCATGAACGCGAAAAGGGTGTGAAAAGCCGAATAGCAAATGGTTTTTTCCTAGAGTGAGTGCATTTTACAGAAACTCATTTTGTACTCTGAAGAAATCAAAATGATCCGAAATTTCTAGCAAACAGTTTAAAATAGAAAAGGAATACGAGGACGACGTTCAGAAAAATCTTCACGCTAAAGTGGAAGCCTTGGATTTTGTTAAAGCGAACGAATCGGCTAAGGTTGTTTTCATTTAATTGCTACAAAGCGAATTCTTATGCTCTGCTGCTCGCCCGTTGTCCTCTGACTGGTTATCTTCAGGTTATTGACGACTTCATCAGTAAAACAACCGAAGGAAAAATTCGGGATATGGTGAAGGAACGTGCTGTTCGAGGTATGTAGCATGCCCCTCTGAAGAATGGGATATTCCAAGCAGCGCTTGCAACCAATATGCTCCAACCCTTTGCCTCATATTACATGTAGGAACCAATTCCCACTGATAAGAAGACACGTGCAGTGAGTCCTGGAGCTTCCCTTTGAACGCCCTTTATTAGCTCTTGTCAAAGGTTATCAGTTTGTCCCAACAACCAATAGGGTTCCCCGTCACGCCTGTATCCCATCTTGGAATCAACTTGCCCCTCTTATTGAGACGAGCGCTATGGTTTGGTTGCCATCCATTTCCAAGGCCATTATGGGGAATCTCATCGTTGCTATAACATTCCACCACTCAAGCTCCGTCTTGACTCCTAGCTCCTTCTTGGAACCAATGTTTCTCTCCAACAAACCTTATCAGCTGTTATCAGCCGTCATCGAAAAATCCCATCTATCATGTGGTGCTATGATCATTTTGTCCACATTGAGCCCCGCGGCTGTTTTGCAGCGACTCCCGTTTACACTTCCTGCGTCTCCGCGCGCGTGAATTGTGTGCAATACACAAACGCGCGGAAACGGGAGTCTTTGTGCCGCATGCCCTTTGCACGCTCATTCTGCTTTCATTTGCGCTCAATTCTGACGTGAACCTACTCAATGGAAGGTAAAACTTGGTCTAGGTCACATACTTGAATCCAAAGAGCGAAATACATAGAGCATGTCAATGTTAGTTTTGACGAGTTATTTTAGTACAGTGATGACGGACTTCAACAACTCGGACAACTCAGAAGATGATGACAATCAGGAAGAACAAATAATAAAAATTTAAACAATCCCTCAAATGAATTCATTCATAAAGGACCACTCGTCCATCATTTTCTGGGAGACAACAAAACATTAACAGCAAACCAGATGATCGTGATGCAATCGCGCCGTTGGGTTTTTATTTTTTTATTTGGGAATGACGAACCCTCCCCTCCAGTGGAAAGCAGCCGATATGAGAAAAGACATAGCCCGATTCCAGCCAACTAAGCTTGTAGAGCTGAAGAAGGATTGAAAATTATCATATGAAGTGCAGTTACTGTTCTATGGACCGATATTTTTTTCAAATAAAACAGCTTTAGTTAACGCCTTATCTGAAGCCATAGAGAATGTACAATAAGAAAAAAACTTATTGAGCATATATTCAACGATAACATTCACAAACGATGGCTTAGCTACGGAAGAAATTGATCCACAAAATGTGAATGTAGGCAATACACAAATGCGCGGAACGGGAGTATACGCGTGTATTGCTGACAATTTATTTACGGCCTTCAGTGTGCCAAAAACCGCGTTTGGGGATCTACATTTTAACAGTGATGAAGATTTTCTTGTAGGCGCTTCCGCACTTATTGTCAACGCCATCTATTTTACGGCAGAAATGGAAGAGCAAGTTCCCCGAAGGATCCGTTTCAAGTGGAACATTTTACAGCGCCACAGGAAACGAAAAAAAGGTTGGTCAGTATTAATTTATCCTCGAAGCAGCCAAAGTGCGATTTATACAGGGGGGGGGCAAAAAAAGTCACTTCGACCGAATCACATATCAGTAAAGTTTTCGCAGCCCAGACAGAAGACGTGGATACGAGT